CCTCAGCCTCCAAAGTATTAGGATTACAGGCATGAGCCACTGCGCCCAGGCTTTCTTTTCTCAACTTTAGAAAGCACAAAAGTAGGGAGCAATAGGGAGGACTCAGGTTCACTATATTGGTTCAGGAACAAAGCAGTATAATCCATTCATGAAATATTTACTGAGCACCTAGTACAGGTCAGGTACTATTGGAAGCATGCAAAGAGAAGGAGCAAAACAAAACAAAAATTCCTTCCCTCCACATCCTCAGTGGTGGAACAAAGACCAAAGATCAACCAACCAATAATAAGATTCAGTGTGGCAGACTGTGTTAAGTGCTATGGGAAAAACAAAAACAGAGAAAGACACAGGGAGTGATGGAGTCACAGTGGGGGTCAGAAAAGGCCTCCATGATCAGTCAGAACTAAGTCCTACTGGTGGGGGGAGGGGTAGGTATGACCCAGTGGGTCCTGGAGGAGTGACCCAAGTGTGAACCAGGAGTGACATCCACCACCACAGACCTTTTGTGGAACAGTAAAGGGTTAAGAGGAAGCATTCCAGGATGAAGACTAGCTGGGCACTTACAAGTTATGTGACCCACTTAACTAGTTATTATTGCTCTCATTTTTTCATTTTGAGGATACTGATGCTCAGAGAAGTTAAGTGGCTTACCTGGGCATCAGTATCCTCAAAATGAAAAAATGGGAGCAATAATAACTAGTTTGCAAATTTCAGGGACTGAATAAAAATTACAATACCTGACACACAGTACTAGTCTAAAAAGTTGAGTGCTATTCATGCTTTCTATCCCTTCAGGAGTGCTGTGTTCTCAGAAATTAGCAAGTGACTACTGAGTACCCTGAGTCTGGCTGAGGCACAGAGAAGCGGGCTTCCAAGGTCCTGAGGCAGTCACCTCCCATATCCAACCACACTGCCTGTAAGGTTTCAGATGCCTTCATCACCACGGAATAAATCTTACTAGCTTCCACTCCAGAGAAAATGCTTCTTTACTGGCTTCTACCAGAACCCAGAAATGGGGATGTTTCCTCACACTTTACAGAGCTGGCACTCATTGCTAATTTATTTCCCCAAGAATCACTCAACTGGCAACTTCCTCACTGGTTTGTCTTATTCTTAGAAGTAGCTGAGGCTGTTTTCAGACAATCTCACAGTGAAAGAAACCCATTCTCTGTCTCATAGGAGAGTACCTGAAGGTGTTTTTCATTCCTTGAGGACCTTAACTGGCCAGATGAAATGGGGTTGTCATGTTTCAATCCATCTATCTAAACACTCAGCTAATTTTTTTTCTTTTTTTAATTTAAGAAATAGGGTCTGGCTCTATTGCCCAGGCTGGAGTGAAGTGGCATGATCATAATTCACTGCAGGCTGGAAGCTGGGATTACCGGTGTCAGCTACAGCACCCAGAAATTTTGACACGTATCATTTGTCAATGTATAACAAGTTTTATGATTCTTACAGCTGACAACATAATTCCACTCTGGAGAACACATCCAAAAAAGTCAGTGCCTCCTTTGCCTCTTCCCCAATAAAAGTAATCTGTACAAAGTGATTCACAGCAATGTTGTTAAAACAATGATAAATGGAGCTAACCTAAGTGTCCATGAATCACTGAATGACTGAGCAAATAACAGTGTCTCAACCTGAGGAAAACCTATGTGACCAACAATAATACATAAAAATAATAATAACAGCAATCATTTTCTGAGCACTGACAATCAATGAGATAAGATGCTAGAGGCAGCCACGTGCAGTGGCCCACACCTGTAATCCTATCCTTGGAAGGCCAAAGCCGGAGGATCGTTTGAGCTTAGGAGTTCAAGACCAGTCGAGGCACATACCGAGACCCTGTCTCTACACAAAATAAACAAAATTAGCCAGGTGTGGTGGTGTGCACCTGGTGTCCCAGCTACTTGGGAGTCTGAGGTGGGAGGGTTGCTTGGGCCCCAGAGGTCGAGGCTGCAGTGAGTGGTGATCTCACCACTGCATTCTAGCCTGGGCAACAGAGTGAGCCCTTGTCTCAAACAAAAAAAGGGTGTTGGAAGCTATTATATATATTATCTCATTGAATATTTCTTTGTGAGACAGTTATTTCTGTTTTACAAATAAGAAAACTGGGGCTCAGAAAGGTTCAAGCTTGCATTTCAGGAAATATAAAAAACAAATAAAACAACAAAAAAAGAAAGGTTCAAATACCTCTAGAAAGCTGGTATACAAACTAGTCCACCATGTACCAGATGAGTGACCTTAGACAGGGAAGCACTCTGGACCTCAGTTTTCTCATCTGTAAAATGTGGCAATGACACAGCATCTAAATCAAATGGTTATTGTGAGGATTAAACTAGTTATCAAATTTAAAGTGCTGAAAGTAGTCCTTGGCACCCAATAATAAATGCCATTTTCCCTGCCATTAAGCCACAGACTTCAGTCCTATCAGTCTACTGCTTCGTCGCTAAACACGCCATGTTCTTTCACACCTTTCTTGCCTTTTTCACATGTGTTGTTTTTCAGGTCTACCACTGACTCACTGTGACTGCGTGTTGTTAATGTGAAGCTCCTTAGAAAGAAATTCCATCTATAGTTCTTTAGGGTATAAGATGCTGATTTGCTTGATAAATAATAAACCAGGATCACTGCCTGAAATTAGCCATTTTAATAGTTTATACTTACATAACAAAGTTCAAGGTGACCCTTTAAAATGTATTTGGTGCTCCTTTCCTGTTCATTTAAATGCTGACTTCTAAGAAAAACTAAAGGGTTAGCAAGCTTTATATATATTTATATATTTTAGACACAAGACACAGTCTCACTGTGTCACCCAGGCTGGAATGCACTGGCATGATCTCAGCTCACTACAATCTCCATCTCACTGGTTTAAGTAATTCTTCCGCCTCAACCTTACAAGTAGCTGGGCTTACAGGCATGCACTGCCACACCTGACCAATTTTCATATTTTTAGTAGAGATGGGAGTTTCGCCTTTTTGGCCAGGGTGGTCTTGAACTTCTGACCTAAAGTGATTTGCCTGCCTTGGCCTCCCGAATTGCTGGGATTACAGGGCCACCATGCCTGGCTGGGTTAGAAAACTTTCTCAAAAAAAAGAAAAAAAAAAAGGAAAGGGTGGAGAAAAAATAATAAAAATAAACATAAAGCTTTCTCCTTTCCAGTTTGCAGCCTCTCATACTCCACCTACTCTTTTCTCATCCATCATTTATAAGAATACTGACCTCAGGGTAGTCTAAGTAGTCCTTAAATAATACATAAAATGTAAAGGATTATTATTGCTACAGGTAATACCAATAGACCTCGCCTCTGCCTGAGCAATTACTGGCAGAAGCTTGTCTAACAACGTGGACAGATATGGTTTCTCTGTCCCTTCTCCTGCCCTGTCCCAGGAGAAATGTATATATGTGTGTGTGTGTATATGTGTGTGTGTGTATATGTGTGTGTGTGTGTGTGTGTGTGTGTGTATGTATAAAATCTCTCAACTGGAAAAAGATGGACAATATCAAAGTTATAAATAAAAATGAGATCAGTGGACAATATGAAATTTGGCATAAAGGAAGAAAATGTGCCTTTCAACACTTTGCCTAGGGTAGGTCTCATACCTATGAAAGAGATCTACCTGCAAAACCTATGTCATTTTCTACCCTCATTTGTCTTGTCTAGTTCCAGCAAAAATCAGCTAAAGAAAAATAAAAATATATTTTTTATATAAAATATATAAGTCTCTAATAAAGTGACTCCCTTTGCTCACACAGTGCACGTGGCCTGCTCATTCAGGCACAAGGTTATGCCACTCTTTTCCCCTTTTATTGGAAGGCACGGAGGCTGCCAGGTGAAGCTGGAAGCACCCAGAGACCAAGGCTGCTTCAACGCCTCTCTCTACAGTGTTGCAAATATAGTCACAGTCATGGTAGATGAATTTTGAGAAGATGGAATAATAAAACCTCTAAGGTCTCCTATGGCATTAAATTATCATGAAATCTTATCGGTCTATTCTGGGATTCCGAGACTAAGTAAACATTGCTTTTGCAATGTTCTGAGCATAAAGTTCTTTGATTCATAATTAAAAATGGGGAAAGATGATATTTATTTAAGATGGTCATTTTCAAACCTTTAAAAAACTAGACCACTTGTTTCGTAAATGAAATCTTACACGGAACCTTACTATAGTAAACAGATAGATGTGGTGCTCCTCTGGTTGCAGCGAGGGTGAGGAGCCAGGGACTCTACCCTCCTAGTTGCCTCAGTTTGGGACACCTGACATTTAAAATATAAATTATAAATTTGATACACGCATTGTATCAGTGTTTAGTTTCCTGAATTTGATGACCGTACTATGGTTATATAAGACTACGTCCTTATTCTTAAGAGACACAAACTCCTAAGGGGGACATAATATGTGTGAACTACTCTCAAACAGTTTAGAAAAAATATATAGTTTGTTTACACATACGGAGAAAACAATGGTTCTCAAAGTGGGATCCCCGGAGGGGCATCAGCATCACTTGGGAACTCGTTTCTAGAAATACAAATTCATGGGCCCCACCTCAATCCTGCTAAATCGGTTGTCTGGGGTAGGGCTCAGGAGTCTGTATTTTAACCTGAAACTTCCTGGTTTTTCAGACACATGCTAAAGTTTGAAAACCACTGATAGAGAAATGAGAAAACAAATATGGTGAAATGTTAAAACTGGCGAATCTGGGAAAAGGGCATAAGGGAGTTTTCTGTATTATTCTTGAAACTTTTTTGTAAATTTGAAATTACTTCGAAATAAAAATTAACAACAATAAGATTACCCTGGGACAAAAAGCACAGAAATGTGGAGAGGGGATGTGGGAGGCAGGGAGGCAAATCATGAGGTTAGTGCAGGAGCCACGCATGAGGTGATATGATTTATGACTAAGACTGTAGCAGCTCCAGTCCCGAGTGAGAACAGGATATCTGCAGCCTTCGAACAACAAATCTCCTTGCAGAACATCTGGGCAACAACCACACTAACCTGAATAGGAGAGTCCGGCAATCTCTATGAAGAGGTCTTCTTCAGAAAAGCTTTCAGGGAGCATGAGGAAAGCAGTGGTCACAGCACTCTTCAGATTTCTATCAAGGGCTGACCTAAGAGTTATATCCTCGTTCATTGTGACAATTTTCACCTGAAAGAAGCAGAACATTGAAAAGAAAAATTTCAGAAATGAAGTATTGCTCAAGCATTGTTCTAGTATTACACATGCACTGGAACTGTCTCAAACTCTTCCCACTGAAGATCCTGGAATATTGGTTCAGGTGACACAAAATTGTTCCTCTAATAGTATTCCCAGAATCTCCTTGTTTTATGCCAAAGTCAAAGAAATCATGACACAGGAAAGGATCAAAATGCAAAAAAAATAACCCAAATACTCTTCTTAAATGAGGAAACACATCATAGGTTTTGAAAAACAGTAAAAGTCCTTTGCAAACTTAATTTTTAAATTTTATAGTCTTATTGTCATCACTTAATTTTTTAGTCGACAGAGGCATTTTACCTCTTTATTTAGACCTCATCTATAATCTTGAACCATATCTAACATAGGAAGTTCATGCTCTATTTCATGATTTCTAGTTACATTGATTTTGAACTTGACTAAGGAAAAATGAAAAAAAATTAGCTACAGTAGAAAAAGAATGGGTTTTAGAGGTAGATATGGGCTCATGTTCAGATACTTACCAGCTATGTGAGTTTGGGCAAATGATTTGCATCAAAGAACAGTCACAAAGATTGACTATAATAACAAATGTAAAATGTCCAGAATACTAGCAACTGCTTTGCTCGATAAGAAGAATTTTTCTTCTCAACACAGAGCAGAAGCTGATATTTGAGACTTTCTGCAAATCTATTAAAATACAAACTGTAACTAGGTTTGTGGCTCATACCTATAATCTCAGCAATTTGGGAGGCCAAAGCAGGGGGATTAAGAGACCAGCCTGGGCAACATAGTGAGACCCCATCTTTAGAAAACAAAAACAAGAAACCCTAAAACCTAGCCAGGCATAGGTGTACACATGTGTGGTTCCCAGGTACTCAGGAGGCTAAGGTAGGAAGACAGTTTCAGACCAGGTGGTTGAGGCTGCAGTGAGCCATGATCACAACACTGCACTTCAGCCTGAAAGACACAGTGAGACGCTGTCTCAAAAAGAAAAGAAAAAAAAAATACTAAGAGCTCCAGTCTCTTCTGAGATTTTTACTTTTTTTTTTTTTGAGACGGAGTTTCGCTCTTGTTTACCCAGGCTGGAGTGCAATGGCGCGATCTCAGCTCACTGCAACCTCTGCCTCCTGGGTTCAGGCAATTCTCCTGCCTCAGCCTCCTGAGTAGCTGGGATTACAGGCACGCGCCACTATGCCCAGCTAATTTTTTTTTGTATTTTTAGTAGAGACGGGGTTTCACCATGTTGACCAGGATGGTCTTAATCTCTTGACCTTGTGATCCACCCGCCTTGGCCTCCCAAAGTGCTGGGATTACAGGCTTGAGCCACCGCGCCCAGCCGAGATTTTTTCTTTTAAAGACTGCACTGTAGTTAAGAGATGTGTTCAAATCCCATCTCTTTTGTGGCTATGGGCATAATTCCTTATCAGTAAAATGGGATAAATAACAGAATCAAGCTCATAGGTTGCTAGAAAGATCAAATGAGTTACTGTATACAAACCCTTCAGTGAAATGAGCTTCCTTGTGTGTCCTTCTCAGTGTACAAGGCAAGAGCTTCTCTGGGCCAGGGATTCTCATCTTTAGCTACCATTAGCAACACCTGGAGGACTTGTTAAAACCCATATTATTGGATCCAACTCCCAGAGTTTCTGTTTCAGTAGGCCTGGGTGAGGCCTGAAAAATGTACATTTCTAACAAGTTCTTAAGTAATGCCAGGGGACACTTTAAGAATTACTACTCTAAGGCATATACGGTCAAACTGCTCTTCGGAGTGGTTACACCAATTTACACTCCCACCATAATCTTTTAAAAACATCACACTGTTTCTGACTGACCGTCTACACAAAGGAAAGGGTCTAGAAGTCCCTAATAAGGACATCCATACATATCTACCATCTAAAATGTATCTACCATCTCTAAACCACTTGGTACTATCGAGACACATTTTCCATCTGTTCTAGAAAACAGGGTATAAGTTACCTTTTATTTGTCAAATACAGATAATTTCTGACAATATTAAGATGGCATACACTATGAGAAACTCCAAAATAAATATTAGAAATCAAGAAAAGTGGAGAATGCTGCAGTATCCCAAGGTATAGTTTCTTCCAATTGTAAAAAACAGTATTATAAAACATGTAACTACTATTTTATAAATCAAGCTTCAGAATCTAAATTCTTTTACCTTTTTCCCCTACTTTTTTCTAAGGAATATTTATAACATACAAATATCATATATGGTAGGTAAGCCACTTGATTCAGTATCACCCCTTCCTCCCTTTTAATTCTGAGGACTTAATGGACCTTAAGCCTTTCAGCACTTGGGGGAGTTTAGTATTACTGCAATCATCTGTAGAGAGCAACCCATGACCAGCCCAGGAACATGAGTTGCCTACAGTTGCATAATGAGTTGACAACAAAAATCAGGATCACAACCTTATATTTGGCAAATCTAGTTCTGAATATTCTAAATTATTCTCATGCATTCATTTAGGATTCTATTCCGGTTAACTTATCTTGAAAGATGATTAAAACAAATTTTAAGGTCCTATAAAAAAACCTATGCTTATTCCTTGAATAACTTTCCTAAACCTTATACAGCTGGCTCTTCATATCCGTGGGTTGTGCACCCATGGATTCAACCAATCACAGATGCAAACATTCAGGAAAAAAAAAATCCACAAAGTTCCAAAAAGCAAAAGTTGAATTTGCCAACATGTGTCAACTACATTGAAGGCAGGTGAACGACATGATTTGTAAGCCCTGTATTAGGTATTACCAGTCATCTAGAGGTGCTAAAATATAAAGGAGGATATGCATAGGTTATATGCTAATACTAGGCCATTTTATATCAGAGACTGGTACTGAAACCAATCCCCACAGACACCAAGGGATGACTGTATTCCATACTGAATTATTAATCTAGGAGGGCAACTGCCTCATTTTACTGACAGAAAACCTAGGTCTGGGGTTAAAAGATTTCTCCAAGAGAAGTAGTGTCAAACTGGGCTAGGATGCAGTACCAGGATTCATCCAGTGCTCTTTCCACAACTCCGTGATGCCTCTACTTCCACATTCCTGTTCTTCATCCCCGTTCATCACATCCTTCTCAATAATTCTTCACGTCTGTTTTTGATGGCTTTTACAGAAACCCAGTGAAATAGAAGCTATTCTGAGATGCTAACAAATCAAAGATGCAAAGAAAAGACTAACTTTGGGGAAATTTTCCTAGTTAACAAAATACCACTTATTCTCCAAGGAAGTTGTTTCACTTAGGTTGTAAGAGGGCGGCCTGTTTGCTATTTAAGGTTAAGAAAGTAAAAATAAAAGCATCCTTACTCAAAGGAAAAATGTCAATTCAGAAGAGTCTGCTACTGTGCTGATGTGGTTCTTCAACGAAAGGTGAACTATGAACTTGTCTCAGCAGTACTGTTATTTGTTGTTCAGAGTGAAAAGCCAGTGAACTCTTGGGAGACTGCCAGAGAGGCCTGGGAAAAAAAGAAAGTGCTCAGATTTGTGAATAGCTGTTTGTATCTTACTGGGAATGCCCTGACCTGAACTGCATAGATAACATTAGCATGACTGCCAGGCAGGAAAATCTTTACTGGAGAGAAAGGGGCATTGCTTAACGGGACTTTCAAAGGAGAGATTTGTGAGTATATTTCAAGAGAGGAAAAAAGAGAAAGTCACATGTGGGCTCCTCTAAAATTGTCACAAGGAGAGACTACTTGAATTGCAAAGAGGGAAATTTTAATCACAAAGACCACAGTCCTACCTAGTATTCAAATACTCAACCACCTACCAGAACTTTTCCATTCCAAATGACCAGGAGGACCACTTAAGGATGAAGAAGAAACACTGAACACTAGAGCTGGATGAAACCTTACTTATTATCTACCTGTTGGACTCTGGGCTCTTCTAGGACAGGCAACGTGGTGTCATTTTAAAAAATTCTTTTGGCATACACAGAGAAGAAACAGTTGCCTTTTGAATAAAAAAATAAATGACTCAATCTGTGGATTTCAAACACTAGCAGCCCAAACATTTTTGCTTATAGTAGGGCAGAGCCAAAACTGGTAAACTGGGTTTTCCAACTCCTAGTTCAGGGATCTTTTATACCACTGGGAGTTTTTCTATTCACACAAAAAATTAATCAATAAAGCTACAATATGGTTATGGTTGAACTCTGTGAATATAGTAAAAATCATTGAATTGTAAGCTTTAAATGGTTGAACTGTTCGGTAGGTGAATTTTATTTCAATAAAGTTATCACTGAAAAATAGGCCACACAAGGGGTCTCATGCCTGTAATCCTAGCACTTTGAGAGGCTGAGGCAGGTGGATCTCTTCAGCCCGAGGTTGAGGTAGGTGGATCCCTTCAGCCCACAAATTCAAGACTGGGCAACACAGCAAAACCCCATCTTCACAAAAAAATATAAACATTAGCTGGGCGTGGTGGCACATGCCTATAGTTCCAGCTACTCAGGAGGTTGAGATGGGAGGATTGCCTGAGACCAGGAGATTGAGGCTCCTGTAAACCATGTTCATGCTACTCCACTTTGGCCTAGGTGGCAAAGCAACATCCTGTCTTAGAAATAAAGATAAAATAAAATAAAGCTACATTACTAAAAGGCAAAATATATTACAATGAATGTATTAAAATAAATCAAAATCCTCTTAACAGGTGGCAAAAAAACCACTGCATGTCAATATAAATGCCTTAAAAACTCAAGCACAATTATCTATATACTAAAAACAATGTAAAATACAAAAATCCAAAATTATGTTAACTAGGGAAATACCTATTAATTATTACTTTACAGGTTTCTTGGCTTAAAAAAAGATTGGTCACAATGCTATATTAAGCATTTTAAATTCCATGGTTTCTTACTTGGGAAAATATTAAAGACTTAAGTTGTTAATGATTGAGAAATTCTATTTCAATTTGTAAGATACAAGAGAATTCTGGAGCTTTAGACAACATAATTTAATGTGACTCCTTTTAAAACATAAATCTAAAGAATTCATACTCATATTCTCGTAATTCTTTCTTAAGACATTTACCCAACTTTCTCGTCCAAAATACTACCCCTCTTTCATTAGATTTGTTCATCAAGTCTGATTAATATTTGCTGCCACCTAGAGGTACAAATAGTTTGTTTAAAAATCATCATTCTGGTTAACAGTGATTTCCACATGTGGAAAATTGGGAGCAGCGGGGAAGAGAGAAATAATTTGCCTGCTTATAATTTTCAATTAAAAAAAATGTATATGCTCAACACTTTCAAATGATTTTGTGATACCCTAATTTTCTTGTTCCAGAAGCACAAAAAGCCTTAGGGACACTCATCGCTGTCAGTAACATTTTCTTCTCCAAGTCAGCTGAGAAATGCAGTTTTGCATGATATGAGCATGGCTGCTACTACAAGTCTTGCTGTTTTTGTTTTATAAGAATATAACAGTTAGATAAAACCTGAGGTCATTTCCAGTGCTTATATTCTGAGATTTCATGGCATTTCAAGTTCTTAAAGACTTTTTAAAAATTTTTAAATATTCTAAGCATAAAGAACAATACAAAGAATAATATAATATTTTAACATTCAATTTCATTTCTATTTTCAAAATAACTGAGATAAGCAAAGGCACAGAGAGAAGGGAAAGACCATTTTCTGAGTGTCTACCAGGGATATCAAAACCCTCTGAGGTCGGTGCCATCAGACTCATCTAAGATGAAAACACCCCGAGGCTTAGGGAGACTGGCAGTGGTGCAGGCTCACACCATTAAGAATCATCAGAGCTGGGATCCTAACGCTACATCTGTTGGATTCTGAAACACTTGCTTTTTTCCTAGCAAGTGTTTGTGTTTGTTTCCTGTTTCTACTAAAGCCCAGGGAAAGGCCTAGTCTCTGCTCTGCTTCCAATATTCTTCCTCCATTTTTTTTTTTTTTGAGACAGAGTCTTGCTCTGTCACCCAGGCTGGAGTGCAAAGTGCAGTGGCATGAGCTTGGCTCTCTGCAACCTCTGCCTCCCAGCTTCTAGTGATTCTTGTGCCTCAGCCTCCCAAGTAGTTGGGATTACACGTGCACGCTACAATGCCCAGCTAATCATTATATTTTTAGTAGAGATGGGGTTTTGCCATTGTTGTCCAGGCTGTTCTCAAACTCCTGGCCTCAAGTGATGTGTCTGCCTCATCCTCCCACAATGCTGCGATTACAGACATGAGCCACTGCACCCAGCTCTGCTTCCAACTTTAAATACCTTTGTGGACCTTTATTCTACAGATAAATTAACTGAAATTCAGAAAGATAAAACAAGATGCCCAAGTTTATGTAACAACCAGTAGGTGGCAGGACTGAATATAACCCAAGGCTTCTAATTTGATGCCCATTATTCTTCTCATCAAGCCACATACTTTGTTTTTGTTTGTTTGTTTGTTTTGAGACATAGTCTTGCTTTGTCACCCAGGCTGGAGTGCAGTGGCATGATTTCAGCTGTCTACAACCTCTGTTTCCTGGGTTCAAGTGGTTCTCCTGCCTCAGCCTCCCAAGTAGCTGGGATTACCAGTGCACCACCATGCCTGGCTAATTTTTGTATTTTTAGTAGAGACGGAGTTTCACCATGATGGCCAAACTGGTCTTGAACTTCTGACCTCAAGTGATCCACCTGCCTTGGCCTCCCAAAGTGGTGGAATTACAGGCATAAGCCACTGTGCCTGGCCCATATTTTGTAAAACAAACAAATAAACAACAACAACAAAAACCCTGGAAATAAAATATTTACAAATTTCCAATTGCTCAATTATGAGCTTTACTAGTCATCCAATATCCAACTTAGAAATGAGAAATTTATCTATATAGATATGAAATTTCAGTAAGCCTATCATTTCTAGACTTTTAAAAATGTTTTTAATGAAATAAAAGTTAGTGACGGTGAAGTGCACACATCTTAAGGGCACAGTTTGATAAATTCATACAAGCATATAGTTATGTAACCCTTGCCCGGATCAAGTATTTCTGGACATTTTAAGCAACTACACTATGAAACTGTAAGCTCAGGTGAAAGGCAGGAGAATCCTGACAGCCCATGCACATCAGTAAAGAGATGTTTATGACACAAATCAGTGAGCTAAGGCTATAGAAATCTCTTATTTTCCCCATAGATAGCTATAGAAGGAGAAGCAGCACTTCACTATTGGGGGAAACACTCAAGAACAATCTGTCGCCCTCTTGTGGAGACTGGGATCCTCTGAAGCACAATTAAAATCTTCCATATAGTAGGAAGTGTAAGATTAGCCACTGTGACTATTTAACATACTTCTGAAACTATGAAAAGACCCTTTCTCAGAACACAGAAAGAAAAGAAGAAAGGTGATATGGCAAATGCTTGTTAAGAGTTCTCTCCCACTTTTTTTTTTTTCCTGTTTTGTGTTTGCTTCCTGTTTCTACGAAAGCCCAGGGAAAGGCCTAGTCCCTATAGCCTCCTCTAGCTGTGTCCCAAATGAGCTAAGAAAGTAGAGAAGACATCACCACTGGCCTCAGAAAGAGAATAAAAGGGATGGGAAATACCAGCCCTTTGGAATGACTACTTGGTGCATTCATTTACTCAGCAGTTACTGAAGGATCCCACGAGCCAGGCACTGCCCTTGAGATGCATCAGTGGCCCCAGGGTAACATGTCCTAGGAGACAAGGTGACTGAGTGGTGCTGAGGGAGGCTCCACTGAGGCACTGGGCACCTCCTCGGCCACCCAATCCAGTCACTGGAGAATCTTGAGGGAGAGGACTGAGCAGGAGGGAAGGTGGACTGTGACCTGGCTTCTACTCCCAGCACTTCTGACACCAAATGTGGGTGTCATGCCAACCAATTCTCCAGCCCTCCAAACACCAAACGAGTGCCGTACAACCGAATTCAATTCTGACCCTAACTACCTGGAGTTACAGTCAGATCCCACAGGTTATGGCTCAGTTTTACAAGCCTCCCCAACTTCAGACGCCAATCACAGTCAAGGTCTCCCATACTCTGACCATTCACTATAAAGGGGTGGGGCTGATTCCCCTTTCCTCTGGTTTCATAATTTGCTAGAATGGCTCACAGAACTCAGGAAGGCACTTTTTGTTGTTGTCGTTGGAGTCTCACTCTGTCATGCAGGCTGGAGTGCAGTGGCGTGATCTCGGCTCACTGCAACTCCCGCCTCCCAGGTTCATGTGATTCTTCTGCCTCAGCTTCCCCAGCAGGTGGGATTGCAGGTATGTGCCATCACACTCAGCTAACGTTTTTGTATTTTCAGTAGAGACAGGGTTTCACCATGTTGGCCAGACTAGTCTTGAACTCTTGGCCTCAAATGATCAGCCCACCTCGGCTTCCCAAAGTGCTGGGATTACAGGTGTGAACCACTGGGTCCAGCCGAGGAGGCACTTTACTTGCATGTACCTGGTTATTACAAAGGACACAACTCAGGAACCACCAAATGGAAGAGATGCTTGGCAAGATATGGGGCAGTGGAAGGGTATGGAGTTCCACGACTTCTCTGGGCACACCACCCTCCCAGCACTGTGATGTGCTCACCAACCCAGAAGTCCTCAGAACCCCTGAGGAAGGTGGGAGTGGGGGGCCTCAAAGCTCCAGCCTCTCCTCACACGGCTGGCTCCCTAAAAGCCAGCCCTATCCTGAATCTATCTAGGGGCCCATCAAGAGTCACTTTATTACTATAAACTCAGGTACAGTTTAAAGGGACTTGTTATCAATAATTAAAGACACTCTCATCCCTATCACTGAAATATTCCAAGAGTTTTAGGACCTCTGAACCAGGAGCCCAAGGAGAAAAACCAAACACATATTTCTTCTTATATCATATCACAAGAGAATATGTGGATATTACTTGGCAATAAATTTTACAGAGAGTAGAAAGAATCGGAAACTCATTTCTGTTTCCACAGTTCCATCTCGTTGCAATCAAAATGATCAAAGTAAGGTTAGGCTCAGAGAGGAAAGGCAGCCTGAACTGTGCTGCCTATAACAGCACTCACCGGTTTTTGGAGTCGTCCAGCAACGTATAAATGATTCCAGTTGAGGAGATCTTCAATCAGAATACTAGTGCTAATAACCCCATATTTGATAAGCTGAAGGAAAAAAGAAATGGGCACAAAAAGTAGTAAAATACCATGTTATTGCTTATACAGGTACAAAGTATAAGGAAACAGATAAAATTTTTGACTAGAGCAGTACCTTGGTTACAAAGCCACTCAAAATGCCTGCCTTGCAAAAACATACATCTCCACCAAAACCTTTGAGAGGTTTTAGTGTCCAAGACTGACTTAGTCCCTAAGGTACGTGAGGTGAGGTTGCAACTGCATTCACAAGATTGTAACAGTGAGAGAAGTCTAGTATGGCTGACTCCATCTTGCTGCCAGCCTCACAGCCTGGCTATCCAAGCTCATGCCTGGGCATAGGCCAAGCTAACCAAGGGAGGAATATAGTTTATAGTTTAATTTTGAAGCAAGGATGATAATAGTTCCTCCCTAAAACTGTTCCCCTCTCCAGTCCAGAGCTGAAGTCACTTTTGTAAAACTAATGAAAGTCCACAAGATTAGGATTAGGTGAAAGGCCTGAATTCTACAAAAACGTTGGCATAGTTTCTATGATCTCTTACTGCTCAGGAGTCATGTGTCCAGTTCGTAAGACTTGTGACTTCCCCAACTGATCCTCTAGATAACATCACTACTGTAGAACTTAAGATTCATCTTTTGAGGCATTTTTCAGACTTTTGCATTCTGATAACCAACTGACCCCACCCAGACCCATGACTCATGACTCAATTGGTCCTGTTGCCCTTCTCCCACCAAAAGGCCCACTCAGCCCGTGAGGACTGTTTTCCACACCTCCATGATTGCATCCTCAACCAATCAGCAGCACGTATTCCCTAGTCCCCTACACCAAACTATTCAAAAACCCTAACTTTCAAGCTTTCAGGAAGAGTGATTTGAGTGATAATGCCAGTTTTCCTGTGTGGCTGGCCTCACATTAATGTTAACTTTTTTTTTTTTTGAGGTGGAGTCTTACTCTGTCATCCAGGCTGGAGTACAGTGGCGCAATTTCAGCTCACTGCAACCTCCGCCTCCTGGGTTCAAGCCATTCTTGTGCCTCAGCCTCCCGAGTAGCTGAGATTACAGGTGTGCACCAACATGCACAGCTAATTTTTGCATTTTTAGTAGAGACAAGGTTTTGTCATGTTGGCCAGGTCGAACTCCTGACCTCAGGTGATCCACCCTCCTTGGCCTCCCAAAGTGCTGGGATTACAGGCATAAGCCACTGTGCCTGGCCTAATTCAACTCTTTACTGCAATATTACAGTAGTGCCAGTCAACCGCAGGAAGAACCCATCAGGCAATTATAAGGTGACCAGTATTTCAACTTAGGTCCATGTTATGTTAAAGATGGAATGTCTCTTAGATGCTATCTAGTATTGGTCCTCAATGAATTGGGAGTAAAAAACCTGGTTTTTCCCCAAAGACAGTTTGAGAAGTGATGATGTAGTTTATGTTCCTCATTTCAGAAATAAAAAACCTGAAGCCCAGAGAGAACAAATGACATGTTCAAGGTGGTACCAGCAGTAACAGAGTCAAAACTAGGTCCCAGAATTTCAGTCTGGTCTTCCAATGCTCTTTTCGTTACAAAGTACAAGAAATTTTCCTTTAATTAAAAGTTTTCACTGACATCCTTTCACATAGTGAATTTCTCTTTTGCTATTGACTATTTCAAACACTCTTATAACTACAAAGCAACATCCAAAACCAAAACTTCTTTATTCATGCTAAACACATGAAATTATAGTTGAGCCCATTTCTATTCTTTTTTTTTGAGCCAGAGTCTTACTCTATTGCCCACGCTGGAGTGCAATGGCATGATTTTGGCTCAATGCAGCCCTGAACTCCCTGGGCTCCACTGATCTTCCCACCTCAGTCTGTGGAGTAGCTGGAACTACAGGCACGCACCATCATGCCTGGTTCATTTTTGTATTTTTTGTAGAGACCGAGTTTCACCATATTGCCCAGGCTGGTCTTGAACTCCTGGGCTCAAGTGATCCACCCACCTTAGCCTCACAAAGTGCTAGGATTACAGGCATGAGCTGCTGTGCCTGGCCAGTTAAGCCAATTTCAATAATAATTTGTATAAATCATGAATGTAGATTTCCCAGGTTACAAAGTCCCATTTGCATAAACAAGTATCTTCAGACCCACTTTGCTGAACTTCAGTATCCAAATAGCCTTCTCAGGCTGCAAATATACAAAAAGCAGCTAAAAAGTGTCAATTAGGCTGGGTGCAGTGGCTCATGCCTGTAATCCCAGTACTTTGGGAGGCCAAGGGGGGCAGATCTCGGGGTCAGGAGATTGAGACTATCCTGGCCAACATGGTGAAACCCTGTCCCCACTAAAAATACAAAAATTAGCTGGACATAGTGCTGCATGCCTGTAATCCCAGCTACTCAGGGGGCTGGGGCAAAAGAATCGCTTGAACAAGGGAGTCAGAGGTGCCGTGAGCCAGAGGTTGCCATGAGCTGAGATTGTGCCACTGCACTCCAGCCTGGCGACAGAGCAAGACTCTGTCTCAAAAAAAAAAAAAAAAGTCAATTAAAAAGTATAGTATTTTGGCATATAATTATGCCCAAACATTTGGTTACTAGAACTTATAATATCGCTTGAAAATTACTAATTAGAGATAGGCTCCACATCATATTAACTGTGAAGAAAGAACAAAGCTAAGTGTTCTGCATGACTCAAGTGGATGTAGAAGGCTGTGCTGAGTGTCAGCCTTTTCTCCCCAACTCCAGCAGTAGCACCCCAAAAAAGCCCTTCTAGCAAGTAACCACTGGGAAGTAACAGAAACACCACAGGCCTGGAAGTCAGGGGACCTGTCGCTAACTAGCTGCGTGACCTTATGGAAGTCATTTCTCTCTTTGAACTTCAGTTTCAACTGCAAAATTCAGGCAGAGCAGGGTTGGACCTCAACCAGAAAAGCAAATACATGGCCCAAGAGGTATGCAGACATCACCAGTCAATCACAACAGTCACTTCTCAGCCAAGTTCAGACAGACCTTCAAATCCTTCTCAAGTCAGTACTCCAACCTCCTGCCCTTTAAAGCATGGTCCTTTAACCAGTGGCATTGGCATCACCTGGAAACTTATAAAAAATGCAGAATCTTGGCTGGGCATGGCAGCTCACACCTGTAATCCCAGTACTTTGGGAGGCCAAGGCGGGCGGATTGTTTGGGGTAAGGAGTTTTGAGACCAGCCTGGGCAACATGACAAAACCCTGTCTCTACAAAAAAAATACAAACACTAACCAGGCATAGTGGCACATACCTGCAGTCCTAGCTACTCGGAAGGCTGAGGTGGGAGGATGGCTTGAGCCCAGGAGGCAGAGGCTGCAGTGAGCCGAGATGACACCACTGCATTCTAGCTGGGTGACACAGCCAGACCCTGTTTCAAAAAAAGAAAAGGAAAAAAAAAAAAAAAGCAGAATCTCAGGTTCCATCCCAGACTAACTGAGTCAGGATCTGCATTTAATGGAATCCCCAGGTGGTTTGATGCCTGTCAAAGTTTGACTGCTCTGAGCAATCAGTGGCAGAGCTGGCACAGCAGGTGGAATCCATATGTCATTCCTGGCCCAGGGAAGCTCTAGGAAGCATCGAATTTAGATCCCTACTGGTCCTGGCAGGCTGGGGTTCTGCTGAGCTCATGACAGCTCTCTTAGAGACTGAGATGCTTCAGCTGAAAGAGTTCAGCAAAGTTTCTGCTGTCAAATGACCCACCAGCAGGAATCCATGCAACTTACCTGCTCTCCAACACCCCACTGTCAAATTCTACCCATCTGCTGGCACCAGGAGGTTCCTGTCTATCACCTGGCACCACATGCTTCCAATCACCTGTGATATCCTCTTCATTTCCAACTTCTTCCTGGGGGTGTCTGCCCCTCCTTCTAGATAAAAATCAATCTCCAACCTAACCCTAAATTGGTCTGCCTATTCCTCCCACTGACCAGACTAGTAGTTCTAGACCAGCAGATTCAGCACTGTTGGGAAGCTTGTGAAGAGATGCAAATCTTCAAGCCCCACCCCAGACCTAGTGATCAGAACTCTGGGGGTGGGGCCCAGCAATCTCTGTGTCCAACAGACACACACCCTAGGGGATTCTGATGCACACTATACTTGAGAACCACCTGGCCAAAGACAAAAACAATGAAGTTAGTCTGGCCAGGCTCAGTGGCTCACACCTATAATCCCAGCACTTTGGGAGGCCGAGGCGGGCTGGTCATCTGAGGTCAGAAGTTCGAGACCAGCCTGACCAACATAGTGAAACCCTGTCTCTACTGAAAACACAAAAATTAGGTGGGCATGGTGGCACACCCCTGTAATCCTAGCTAACTAGGAGGCTGAGGCAGGAGAATTACTTGAACCCACGAGGCAGAGGTTGCAGTGAGCAGAAATCACACCACTGCACTCCAGCCTGGGTGAGAAGAATGAAGCCCCGTCTCAAAAAAATAAAGTCCATCACACCCAACCACCTCCTCACACTGTAATCACAGTTAATGGGAGATGAGGAAGGACTCCAGTCACTGCTCTGTCCCTAAATTCAAAACATCTAGCAGGAATGTGAATGTTTCCTGACTATAAGAACATACATACCATAAGAACATACATATTTCCTGGCTATAACAATGTCCAGCAGGAGTGTGAATGTTTCCTGACTATAATAGCATACATATTTAGCTGGTATTCTAATACTCCAGGTTAATAACCAGCTAAGTTAAGACAAAGGCCAGCAGTCACTTACCCTACCATCACACGTGATCAATGAATTGTAGTACACTCCAGCGCCATAGTTATTCTGGATGGATGTGATCATCTTGGGTCCTAAAACTTTTAGGAAAGAATAGTGGTTCCAATTTTTCTTCAGGTTCTTTGAATGCCATGCAAAAGGGTCATCTACTGTGAACACAAAGTCCAGCATAGCATTCTGTGGAGTGAACAAAAGAGAACAATTTCAGTATTAATTCCTAGAAAGACAGCCAGACAGCATGGAAAGCTCTAACATACTATGCAATTATGATCAATAGTCCAAGGGCCTGGTGCTGTCATCAGAAAAGTAAGCGAGTCTCTGGAACCAACCTGAGCTTTGTTTTCATCAATGCAATAATAATAAACACTTCTTTAACATGCATTGCTGGGCCAGCATTCTTTAAACACTTTATGGATAATATATGTAGGAACTCATTTTATCCTCAACAAAACCCTACAAGGTAGCTACTGCTATTATCTCCATTTTTTTGAGACAGAGTTCTGTTCTGTCGCCCATGCTGGAATGCAATGGCACAATCTGAGCTTACTGCTACTTCTACCTCCTGGATTAAAGTGATTCTTCTGCCTCAGCCTCCTGAGTAGCTGGGATTACAGGTGCACGCCACCATGCCTGGCTAATTTTTGTATTTTTAGTAGAGACAGGGTGTCACCATATTGGTCAGGCTGGTCTTGACCTCCTAACCTCATGACCTGCCCATCTCAGCCTCCAAAAGTGCTGGGATTACCAGCATGAGCCACCGCGTCTGGCCTTATTATTTCAATTTAATAGGAAACCAAGGTACATGGGATGCTCTTTCCCCAAGGACACACAGCTTGTGAGTGGCAGACCTGAGTAGTCTGGCTCTAAATTGTGTGTGCTGAACCACTGCACTATACTGCCATTCACAAATATAGCTAAATGCACTCCCCTTTTTTTCCAGATCAAATTAACACCATTTGGATAAACTCTGAAATATTATACAAAAGGAAGGAGGTCATTTTATCTCTTACCGATTCACCAATCACTCATTGGATACTTATAATGAGCTCTGACAGGCCCTAGGTAAAAGGAAAGAGCTTGGAGTCTACTGGAGAGAATAAACAAATTATCACTAAATTGACTTGATAGAGGAATGTAAAATGTACTAACTGCACTCAGAATGGGGATCAAATCAGGAGCACAGGAGGGAGACATTCTCCTAGAGACAACATATCTGTCTTGAAGGACATGTGGGCTAAATAGGCTTGCTGGAAGCACTGGGGGAGGCACAGGGAAAGAAGGGTAGGGAGTCGTGTTGGAGGAAAGCGCTCTGTGGATATGGGAGCCAGCATGTTCTGGAAGCTGCAGTTTGATAAGACTGAAATAGATCACATTTATGCCATGGGAGATGAGATCAGAAAGGGAGGCTGTTTGCCATGCTAAAAAATTTTCCTGCAGAAGAGCTGACTGGAGAAAGAAGAGACTAAGGGGGTGAGGAAAACTAGATCTGAAGCCATGGCAAGATTCCAGGTGAGAAATGAAGTTATATTAGCTAAGGCACTAAGGGTGGGGATTGATGTGAGAGAGGTTTAGGTGTTGGAATCTACAAGACTGTTTACTTGAATGCAGGGAATCAAAAGTGAGGGAAAGGGAAGGAAGGACCTTCTCTTGCAGGGAATTCCAGGTCTACTCAAAGGAAAACTTCCATGGAAGAATGAAGAGGTAGACATCAGGAGGCTAAGACCTGCTCTGTGTTTCCCACCAGGTGACTCACAGACCACTGGGGACACTTAAGATTTGGTGGCAAGGAGAGTATAGGATAAACATGTTTTTTAAAAAATGTGTAATTATGTTAAGGTATATTCGAAAAAAAAGTAGCCTATAATAACCTATAATTTCTCATATGCTGCCAACTTAAAGAAAAATATTAAATAGTAGTGTAAGTGGGAAACGGAGGAAATCCAAGCAACAGCATAGATGGCCTCACCAGAAAGTGAACAGGCAGAATGTTAATCACAAGACAGACTACAGCCAGGTATGCAGATGCAGGGGGCCCAATTAAAACCTGCACACTGAATTCTGCAAATAACAAGGAAAACTGCACCCTTACTGAGGCTGCACTGACCTAACTGTGAAGAGTAACAATGCCTAGTCTCAAACAGACCCTTGTTAAATGTTCTGAGCGAGGGTAAATATACTGGTCACGCACTAACTTTTGCTGTTACTTTCACTGTACTTGCCCTGGCCCTACAACCAGTCCGCAACTTCCTGAAGTCAAATCATTTTATATTTTCTCCCATAGATATAGAGGTGACTCTCAACAAACTTGGCTGCCCATCAGAATCACTTGGGACGTTTCTTAAATTCCTGAAGCCCAGGCCTCATTCCAAACCAATTAAATCAGAATCTCCATTGGCGGAACCCGAGCATTAGGATTTTCTGAAAAGCTCCCCAGAAAATTCCGATGTCCAACCGACTGAAAACACTGAACTAGAACGTGATAACGATTTTTTCTTTTCTTCCACTTGCCCCTACAGCGGCTTTCCCCCCTGCCTGTTTCTCTTGCTCTAGACTCACGTGGATTCCTAAGCATCCCTCAACACTGTCGCTTCAACTCGCGCTGTCGTTATTAAGAACGCAAGCCTATGGTTCACTCTGCTAGTTGACACGTGGAGTGTGCAGAGCGGACAGGCAGCTCTCCAGCTCTGAACGAATCGAGGGCAAAATGGGACTTTTGAGAACAGGCAGTTCCCCGTTGTGGGGCTGACGGGCTGACGGGGGCTGTCCGGGGAGGGGCCGGGCTGCGGGATTGGGCTCACCTTCTGGTCTGAATTGGGCCCTGCCTGGCGGTACACCCCAGAGCCGTAGGCGAAAGCTAGACTCAGCTCCTCGGGGAAGTGAGACAGGATCCTGCGAAAGGTCACCCCAGAGCTCTGCAGCGCCTGCAGCGCCATGGGGTCGAGGCTGATAGGGGACCCTCGGCAGAGCAGGGCGAGGACAACCGAGCGGGAACAGACCCAGGCAGGCGGTTTAGGGTGGGAAATGGAAGTCGGAGACCGGCTCGAGGAACACAAGGCTGAGCGTGGGGTGGGACTGCAAGGGCAGGCAAGGACTGGGGCGCTGGGCCACGAGGAGCAGCGCCCAAAAGGCGCAGCCCGGTTAGGCTCGGGTGGGTGGCGATCGTGCCGGCCGAGCTTCCGTCCTTAGCTACGCCCCACGCACACGCGCTTCCAAGACGTAAGAGGCGGTGTTTGCCTTAGTGTAGGGAACGCGAGATCTTTGCATTGACCCCTCGTGGTCGGAGGAGTGTACTGCAGGTTGGCGGCCTTCGTTGCGACTTGGACAAATGCGCGGAGCCGAGCGTCACCCGACCCCGCGGCCCCTGAGCCTTGATCTCTGTACTCTCTTCAAATCACAGTTTAAGGAATGACTATAAAACCAAGAGCGTTCCCAGAACTTTGGGAGGCCGAGGCGGGTGGATCACGAGGTCAAGAGATCGAGACCATCCTGGTCAACGAGGTGAAACCCCGTCTCTACTAAAAATACAAAAAATTAGCTGGGCATGGTGGCGCGTGCCTGTAATCCCAGCTACTCAGGAGGCTGAGGCAGGAGAATTGCCTGAACCCAGGAGGCGGAGGTTGCAGTGAGCCAAGATCGCGCCATTGCACTCCAGCCTGGGTAACAAGAGCGAAACTCCTTCTCAAAAAAAAAAAAAAAAAAAAAAAAAAAATCTTGAGCCTATTAAAGGTTTTTAAATGAGGCGACACTCACATAATATAGAACTAACGTTCTGAAATGGGCGGTATAGTAGCATTTAGGACCTTCACAATATTGTGCGACCATCATCTCTCTAGTTCCAAATTTGCAGATTTTGAATAATTAGAAAAACACAAAATTAAAATGATGCACAATCCCACCATGTGGAGATAGCACCGTCAAGATCTGACCCGGACTTCTTCATGTTAAAGCCCTTTTCAAATCCAAGCGTGGATATGGGAGTGTGTGGTAAAGGACTACACAGACGTTCTCTGATAGTTGCATTTAATTTCAAGGGTGGATAAGAGTTTTCACCCCCTGGCCTTGGGGATTGGTCTCACAAAGGGTGCTTCATGCAGTTTCTGGAGGAAACAGGACCCTAGGAGTGGAAAAAATCTTAGAGCTCTCTTTTTTTGTCTGTATCTAGAGAAACTTGCTGGAGATTACCGGTAATTCAATGGTGGTTTGACATCCAGGACAAACTTTCAGCTACTCTCTCCTTCCTTCCCAACGTACACTACCTCTCAAAAATAATAGCTAACATTTAGGTAATGTTGACGCATTTTCACATGCACTTCTCATTGAGTCCCCTCTAGCGCTCTGTGACAGGGCCTTGGTTTCACAGATAGCCAGGCTAAGGCTTAGATCGGTAAAGCCAGGTGCTTAAGATCATATCAGTCTGCGGCAAAACTAGATCTAAACCCAGCTCTGGCTCCACTTCTGGGATTTTTTGGAAAATTCTGCCCTGTCCTTGAGAGGTTTTGAGCAGGGACTTACATGATTCACATGTTATCCTGAACTGGGGAGACCAATTAGACAGTTTTTATCATAGTTCCCTCTTGAACTGGAAACGACCAGGCCAAGGTCTTAGAAGCAGAGATGGGATTAATTCAATCGGAAAAAATGAGTACTTGCACTCACACTCTGGGTCTGCACTAAGATGAAGAGATCTGAACTGCCTGCTGCCTTGCAGGAGCTCGGGGTCTCTAGAGGAGAGGAGACAGACCTGCAAATCAGAATAGAATTTGGGTAGTACAGCCGGGTACCCAGCACAGTGCAGGAGTGTCCTGTCCCTCCAATGGGAACGTCAGTCAGTGCTGGGTGTTCGGGAAATGGACCAGAGGAGATTTCACAGTGATGGCATTTTGAGCCAGGCCGGGAAGCTGAATAGAGTTTATCAGGTGGAAGATAGATGGGAAAGATTCTACCAAGAAAGAATTGATAGGACTCAGTGACAACAACAACAACCACAATAATAATAAGTGTCATTTATTAAGCACTTACTATTCCCAGGCACTTTTTATACTTTTTTTTTGAGACAGAGTCTTGCTTTGTTGGCCAGGCTGGAGTGCAGTGCCACGATCTCAGCTCACTGTGACCTTCATCTCTAGGTTCAAGCAAGCATGCCTGACTAATTGTTGTATTTTTAGTAGAGATGGAGTTTCACTATGTTGGCCAGGCTGGTCTCAAACTCCTGACCCCAAGTGATTTGTGATTTGCCTATCTCAGCCTCCCAAAGTGCTGGGATTACAGGTGTGAGCCACTGTGCCCAGGTTTTTTATACTTATTTCTTTTAATCACTCCAAAAACCCTATGAGGCAGGTTCTCTAAGATTATGATGTTTTTCATATGAGGAAACAGAGGTCGTAAAAAGAGGAGTAAATGTTCCAACGTCACACAGGAAAGTGGTGAAGTCGAGGTTTGAACCCAGAGCTACCTACCTCTAAAGGCCAAAGTCTTTACCACCATGTTTAAGTGCCCTCTATAGCAGCTTGCAGGGTGAGAGAAGGAAATGGGAAGAAAACTGGCTCTCAGGCATCAGCCAAGGTTCAGGAGCAGCAGCAGTAGCCACAACATTAAGCAGGAGACCAGGGCAAGGGAGCGAAGAGAGGCTGTGTGTCTGCATCCCCTGGTGTGGGCAGGGTCATTTCTGCTCATTTTCACTACAGATCACCCTTGCCCAGGGTGCCAGAATCAGACTCCACTCACCGTGGAATTACACTGAAGCCTCTCACCCAAAGACGGTGAATAAATCCCATTACCAGCCGGATCCTTTTTGATTTCCTTCCTTCCTTGGAGAAATAATTCAACTTCGTTGAATTCTTTCCTGTTTGCGAAAGTAATCCATATTCATAAAAATGTAAACATTATGAAATACATCCATCATCCCCCAGAAATAGCCACTGGTAATGTTTGGCACTTATTCCTTCAGATATTTTTCTATGAATATATTAACATTAAAAACAATTTTAAGTGGACTCCTAGGATAGATACTATTTTGCAATTTGCTCCTTTTGCACTTAGCATATCAGAGACAATGAATGTTCTGTGTTCTGTGTCAGAGTATATAGATTTCCCTCATTCCATTTATTAGTAGCAAATTATTCTAAAATATGGATATGCCATAACTTATTTAAACATTTTCTCTTTCTTCCTTTCTTTTTTTTTTTTTGAGACTAAATTTCACTCTGTCACCCATGCTGGAGTGCAGTGTCACAATGTCATCTCACTGCAACTTCTACCATCTGAGTTCAAGCAATTCTCCTGCCGCAGCCTCCTGAGTAGCTGGGATTACAGGTGTCTGCCACCACATCCAGCTAATTTTTGTATTTTTAGCAGAGATGGGGTTTCACTGTGTTGGCCAGGCTGGTCTGGAACTCTTGACTGATTGCTTGCCTTGGCCTCCCAAAGTGTTGGGATTACAGGCATGAGCCACTGCTCCCGGTCTGTTCAAACATTTCATTGTTGACGGATGTAGGGTATTTCTAGTTTTCACACCTGCAAACTATGCTATCATAAGCATCCTTTTACATTTTTTGTGCATATGCAAGTATTGCTGTAAGATAGATTCCTAGAAGGTGAATTGCTGGGTCAAAGTGTCAGCACACAGATAAATTCCCCTCCAAATGACAGTGCCAATTCACACACCCACCAGCAGGGTTCAGCCCTTGATAGAAATAAAGATTCTGCAATGTTTCTCTGTTTGTCTCCCAGGCGTTCACACCCAATTATCAGCAGTTTTCATTTTCACAAACACTTTTCTTCCTGCAATGCAAAACCACCAGCTGGAAGTTTCCATCACATTCCTGTGTGCATTTTGCCTTTCCCCAGAAAGAGGCAGAAGCAGTGTAGCCAGGAACGCATTTGTATTCTTCAGCTGAAATCTCCCTGCTCCTAGCCCTTCATCCACTCTCTTTTAAATTACCATGGCTTGCAAAATTAGAGGCTATTAGGAAGCCCCAGTGTTCTATATAATCGCTTTAGGGTTCTGTTGGAAAGCTTATACCAATGAAATATGTTAGAGAGCCACTTACAAATATAGATAAATGCCCTGTGACTTGAGTGAGTATTGGGCCTCATTCTTCTCATTTATCTAGCAGTTGTCTTTGTATTCCTTAATAATGACCTTGTCAGGAAAACTGTCATTAGGAGAAGGTTCATCTAATCCATTTTTTAAAAAAGCCTCATTTAAAAAAAAGTCTGTAGCTTTAACGCTTTTTTTTTTTCCTAATCAGCGTTTCAGTACAGGAGAGAAAAATGTTCGAGGGGGAAAATCCAGGCTCAGTGGTTCTTACAATTAGCCACATGTTCAACTGATCTGCTGATGGAGGGGAAGGAAAGGGGTCTTGATCTCCATCTTGTCAGAGGAGGGTCACCCTGTCCCATGTGTCCATTGTCAGATGTTTGTTGGATCAGAACTGGGCCAGACTGGGAGGATTTTTTTGATCTTTCTTTCTGTTTCTTCCTTTCTTTCTTCTTTCTTTCTTTCTTTCTTTCTTTCTTTCTTTCTTTCTTTCTTTCTTTCTTTCTTTCTTTCTTTCTTCTTTCTTTCTTTCTTCTTTCTTTCCTTCCTTCCTCCCTCCCTCCCTCCCTTCCTTCCCTCCCTCCCCTCCTTCCTTCCTTCCTTTCTTCCTCCCTTCCTTCTTCTTTTGAGACAGGGTCTCACTCTGTCACTCAGGCTGGAGTGCAGTGGCATGATTGATCTAGGCTCATGGTAACATCTACCTCTCAGGCTTGAGTGGCCCTCTCACCTCAGCCTCCTGAGTAGCTGGGATTACAGGTATGTGCCACCACACCTGGCTAATTTTTTGTATTTTTATAGAGAATGGGATTTCACCATGTTGCTCAGGCTGGTCTCGTTCGAATACTCCACCCACCTAGGGCTCCCAAAGTGCTGTGATTATAGGCGGGAGCCACTACGCACCCCCAACTGAGAGCACTTAATACATCTTTAGTGTCTAATCAGGGGCTCAGAGGTACCACCTGGGTTGGAATCCAGACCAGGATTTAATAGCTGTGTGGCCTTGGACAAGACAACTTAGCTTCTTTGTGCTTTCTTTTCCTCATCTGTAACCTGGGGAGAGTAATGACATCTCACTCACAGGGTTGTCATGACAGTGAATGAAACAGTATCTAGAAAGTACATGGAATAGTGCCTGGAGTAAGCTTTCAGTAAACGAAGAACATCCTCCTAA